AACTTGAGGAAGGGGGGGGGGTAATTGACAGTGGGGTGATTGACAGGGGGGAGGGAAATGTCCTGGGGATAATTAATAGGGGGGGGTAATGTCCTGTAGCCCCAATCAACCACTCACTTACGGACTCACCCATCCTTTAAAAAATCTCTCTCTATATATAAATAAATGGGATATATATATATGGGATATATATATGGGATATATATATATGGGATATATATATATATATATATATATATATATATATATATATATATATATATATATATATATATATATATGTATATGCAAATAAATCTTTAGGCTATATATAAAAAATTTTGGGCAGATTTAGAGTTGGTCCGTCAAAACATATAAATTTATTCTGCGCTTAAATAATGCAACGGCTTAATTAATCAGCCTACTTAAAAGAAAAGTAATTGGGTCAAATTTTTGGAGATAAGTCAAACATCAACTCATTTTGCATAACATTAATGATGTATTGTAAAACACTTTGAATTTCATGTTTTAAAAGAAAACGTTTACACTTAACTTAAATCGCTCAGTGTTAAATTAGCATAACATATTTTGTTTAGTTGTTATGGTTTAAATAATTAAAACAAAAACTCCTATTTGATCTTTACAGATAGAGCTGACCCATGTGCGCCTAAAAAACCGAGTGGTTAAGTCACGTACAGTACAGCGACAAGAGTAATGGACAACATGAAATACCGGGAAAGAAGGGCACATACCTTACACAACACGAAATGGTTTACTTGGAAGTTTTTTTTAGTCAGTCTTAAAGCATTTCTTAAGCTTATTTTAACTGCAAATGCTGCTTCTAGTTTAGACCAATTAAATCTGTGTTAGGATATTTAAATGACAACTTATTTGAAATTTGATTTGGGAGAAAATTCATTTGTTATCTGCCATTTTCAAGCTAAACATATTAATTTACTACATTTACAAGATATTGAAAATACTTTTAAGTTTTGGTTTTAAAATAATAAGTACTAGTAATGTGTGCATGTATAAATAAAAACTAGAAATCAATCAAATCCAAGATTCGATGGACTAGAATATGTTTCCAAACTCTTGTAGCTGTGCTGATCATGAATAAAATTAAGAAACTGAATTTTATTTTGTCGTTTACCGTTGCTTTGATTGTGATTTACAATTTTTTTTTCTTCTGTTTGTGTTCCACTGTAAATAACATCACTAAGCAGGTGCTAGTGTAAAGTCCATGGAAAAGAAAATGATGTGATATATATATATATATATATATATATATATATATATATATATATATATATATATATATATATGCATACACACAGACATGTTCAAAATTACAAAACAAAGTTTTTCGGACCCCGGGAGGTGTTTAACGTCGAGATTTGTGGGTTTCGAATTTTCGCACGATTACAATACTTCCTCTATACTTCTTATACGAGAAAGTAAAAGTTAAATAAAATCTTGTAAAAGGGTACTTAACTGTGTGGATTGACAACAACTTAAATTATATATTTTTTAACTTCCCTTTTATTGCTAACACAGCGTGCCTAAAATGAAAATAAAATCTAGGTGCCTACTACTTTATAGTAAGTTTTTAAAAATTTTCTTTTTTTTAAATCTTGTTATTAGAAAGGTTTGTATATTTGTTGTATTTTTTTACTTTCTCGTATATACGAAGTATAGAGAAAGTCTTGTAATCGTGCAAAAAAAAACAACGTTTTACACCTCACTGATACGGAAAAACATAATTTTGCAATCTTGTCCGTATGTCTGTGTGTCTGTCTGTGTGTGTGTGTGTGTGTGTGTGTGTGTGTGTGTGTGTGTGTGTGTGTGTGTAAACACGATAACTTGAGTACCCTTACAGCTAGGTTGATGAAATTTCATATATAAGTATTTTTTCAAAATCGTAGATCCGTTTCAACTTTTGAGCGATTTCCGATAACCGGAAGTGGTACTTTTTCTACTTTGAATTTTTCAAAAGCCTATAACTTGAGTACTATTTCAGATAGATAAATGAAATTTATGAAATTTATGTTGACCGGAAGTACTAATTTACGCTATTTTCGATTTCTCAAAAACGCATGTAGATTTATCTCTATACTACTAAAACTCAACTTTGTTTACATGTTTGAATATTTATTTGTTTGTCTGATTGACTATTGTAAATGGATCTACGCTATATGCAGAACTGTAAAATAGTATGTAGGTAGAGAACAATTTTTGTTTTCAGTCTGTTAATGACAAATTTATTTAAAGACGTTAATTAATTTATTGAATTATTCATAGGTATATTAACCACATTAATTTTAAAGTTTTAGAACAATGGCTTTCTTTGACTGAATAGTGACGTCACAATTTTTGTTTACTTTTTAATACAATAACAAGCTAATTTTCTGTTGGCCATAACTTTAACAATACGTCCGTTTGCTGTTTTTATTACGTTCCAACTGTCTTTTCATTTAGTTTTACAATAAATTTCTCTAGCTCTACAATCTGTCCAAGAAAGTTATTTATAGATTTAAAAATATCATGTGGCCAAGCAAGTTATTTATAGATCTAGATCTAGAACCTAGGTTAAACCAAAGATTAATTAGATACATACCAAAGATTAATTAGATAAATATACAATCCATTTTATAATCATAATACATTTTTAGTCCTTAAATACTTGATATAAATCTTTGTGATTTATCTATCTAGATCTAGATCTATCTCGCTAGAATAGGTCTAATGATTAGATCTAGAATTTCTAGATCTAGACTTTCTAGATCTAGCAAGAGTTACGCAAATACTAGACTTAAGACTTAAGCAAACGAGTCGTAGAATCTAGATCTAGATAATTCTATCAAGATCTAGATAATTTCAGACCTTCATTATTTTATATAAATCTTTGTTTGGCTAATTTAAGATAAAATTTAATTTGAAAGTTACTACTACTAGACTTAGATCTAGATTTATGCGCGCAAATCAAGTTGCATAAGGAGACTCAAAGTATTAAAGTATAGTATAAAAATACATCTGTGATGTCACGAGTTAAATAGCTAAGTTGTTAGTGTAATTGGCTTGCATGCGGATGGCACAGTTTCTAGTCAATGATAATTTTTTTTTCCAATTTTTTAATTATTTTTTAGATGTGAATGATAAAGTTGCCTATCTGAACTTGGTGGGATACAGGCCAGGTGAAGTAGAGTTAATCTGTTTCTTTGTCCTAAGCATATGAACGGATAGTGTGGTCAGAGACATGCTCGGCTGGAATCGTTTTTTAAACGATGAAAACATGTAGTCTGGGACTTGGCGGGACACTGGGCAGGTGAAGTAGAGTTGAGTAGGTCACCTGTGACGTCAGTATATGAAGGGATAGTCCGAACTCGGTGTTTTCGGTGTTTTTAAAAGATAAAAACATCTTATTGAATGTGGGGTCTGGTTTTTTGTGACGATAAGTGACAGACGTGATGTTTTTTATGGATGACCCCCGAAACCCACAGTTATCCAACGGATTACGGGTAGTCTAGAAAACTACTAATAATATTGCGCACTATTATGCACATTTTGTTTTGGCGTTCTCTTGGTGCGCAATTATTTTTTCTACTAGATTTTATTCTATTTTTAAAAGTTTAAGTAAACAAAAATCATATCTATATTCTGAGTTGCCATCCCACGTAGTGTTATATTAGAATATTCGAGAAAGTTTAGGGGAGATCACTCCCGGTTTATTTAATTTGTAGTAATTCGTCCAAAATGAAGTAGGCACCCTCGCTGGAGATACTTTTCCTTTCAGACATGTTTTTTTTTCCAGCATTGGTTGAAGGGCACTAAAAACTTTCATGGAGAATAAATTATATATATTTTTTATATACTTGTCTGTGGGGATTAGGATGGGGAGGGGTGTGTGTTTAGGGAGGATGGGGGGTGTAGACCCAGCTAATGCTTAAAACAAATTGTGGTGACAATCTACATCTAAATATCACCTCTACTACAAGTGAATAATTTGATTTTGGTAAATAAGGTAGTAATTCCTGGAAAACCACTTCTTCCTACTCTTAATCCTCATCACTCCATGTGGAGTATAGGGCGGCAACAAATCTCCGCCATTCCACTCTGTCTCGGGCGAGCCACTTTAGTTCATGCCAGGTCTTGCCAGTAGCCTGCACTTCTTCTTCCATCTCTCTCCTCCTTGTTCCCAGTGGTCTTCCCCTTTTTCGCTTTCCAGGCGGAGTCCACTTCAGTGCCATGTTGGGGAGTCTTCTTTTGCTCATGCGTAGGACATGGCCCAGCCATCTCCATCTCCTCATTCGAACTTCTGAAACAATATCATTTAATCCTGTCCTTCACCGTATTTCCTTGTTCGGGACTTTGTCGTCCCACTTTATTCTGAGGATACGTTGGAGGTAACTTCTTTCAAAGCCTCTGAGTCGGCTCTCTCCTTTCTTGTTTAGTTTCCATGACTCTGCAGCATAGAGAAGTACAGAACTTACATTAGACTAGTAGATCCTTATTTTAGTTATCTGTTGCAGTGAGGATGATTTACAGATCTTAGCAAGTCTGTTGAAAGCTTGTGCTGCCATTGCTATTCTGGTGGCTATTTCTTTCTCCATGCTGCCATTTGCTGATATATAGCTGCCCGAGGTACTTAAAGTCTTCGACCTCTTCTAGCTCTGCTCCATTCGCAAAGGTCTTGAGAGCACTTTTGGCATTTATTTTCACTTGCTCTGTTTTCCTGGAGTTTATCTTTAGCCCAACGCTTTTAGCAATTTGCTCTATTATTGTGGTTTTTTGCTTGGATGTCTTTTTGGGCATGTGAAAGTAAAGCCAAGTCATCAGCAAAGTCACAGTCATCCAGGTGGTTGGTAAGTTCCAAAAAATTCCTCTTGGCTTATCCTCAGTGGCCATTCTCATAATCCTGTCTATTACCACCAAAAAGATGACAGGTGATATGACACAGCCCTGTCTGACTCTTGTTTTACCGGAAAACCACTTACAATATGCAATAACAAACACAACAAATATTCGTTTTATCCAACGTAATTTTATTACTCTCTAAAGCAAAGTAAGCAATACAAGCAGTTCTGTTTGTTTTCAATTTTTCGCGTATTTTCAGCAAAAAATAAAAAGTAATAGTGTAAAAGCAGGTGTAAAAATCTACATGATGGTAAAAACAATTTCTTTAGACCTTTTAACGTATAATGGTTAAAATTAAGTAGCAAAACTATTTCTAAAAACGTAAATAATTAACATATTACCAGATCCATATTTGTGAAACTGTCAAGGCATTTTTCTATAAATATTGTGTATTTTTTGTGTGTTATTTATCATTTTCGTATTAATATAGAGCACTTGATTTTAGAAGTCATTTTAATAAATATTGAATTCTAATTCTTGTTATACTATTAATGCAGATATGTAAAACAAAGCTGTTTACTAAAATGCGTTTAGAAATTACTTGGTTCATCATGCAATCTAATCACTAAATTATCCATAAAATTATTTCATTAGTTTGTTATACATTTTGACCAAAAAGCGGAACGCTACGCAGCAGTGTTTATTTTTATATAAATAAAAAAATATCCAGGCCACCATTGTTTAATCAGAAAGCTGATGGTTATGATTAAGTGTTAAGTTAACAGTTCAAAATTTTATTTTTTGTTTAGCTAAAATAATTTCTGTTTATGTTTGATGTTTCTTTGTTGCCTTCAGTTTGTTGCCATCTCGTGTCTGTGACCTTTCATTGAGCACAAGGGTCAGAAATATCTGAAAGTTTTAAAATAATACATTTTTGTTCATATGTGAATAGACACGACTTTTCTCTTTCATAATAATATATAATTGAAAATTCCTAGATTTTCTATTCGATTTCCGAAGATAGTTAACATTTATTTTTTTTTGCAGACATTTCAGCTAATTTTTCAAATAATAATCATTAAAAAAGTTTAAAAAAACCCACGTTTTCTGATTGAACTAAAAAGTAGAAAATAAACGCTATACATCACAATAATGCAAGCGATCACTCTACTATAAGCGATGAAAAACGTGGGGCGCCGAAGTAAAAGTTATATTACTATTGACTTTTATTAGGGAGCTTGTAGAGAGTCAACAGTATTAGAAACTGTAAGAAAATCACGGCGCCCCACGTTTTTGATCGCTTATAGTAGAGTGATCGCTTGCATTATTGTGATGTATAGCGTTTATTTTCTACTTTTTAGTTCAATCAGAAAACGTGGGTTTTTTAAAACTTTTTTAATGATTATTATTTTCTACTTTTTAGTCTTTGTTTGTTTGCATTAAAATCTTGCTATCGATTTTATCTTTTCACTTTTTTTGGGTAAACGAAGACAACTCGTAAAAAGACAACTCGTAAAAAACACGTTGTGTGAATACGTTACTGACTAGAACACATAGATTTGAACCCGTGTCGAGTGGGATAGCAATCGTGTGCCCAACCACTCGACCATATCGTCTCCCCCAAACTGGCCTACCTCCTGTAAGTTTAAACTCGGTTCAAACTAAATTATCTGCCCCTAAGCCTGTGGCGACGTGGGATCGTTCGCTTCACTGCGCGCGAGGTACGCGTCGCTCGTTTTTTTTCTAATGGCTCGCAGAGGAGAATTATATATATAGATTATATAGCGGTCTAAAATGCTCAATAAAATGTTTCCATTGATCAATTTAGTAATAATAACAATTGAATATTCAATTGTCATCCAAAAGAAAGCTTCCCTGAAAATTTCAGCGCGCTAGCTAACTGGGAAGTGCCAGAAATTTCCATCGCAAGATTGGATTGGAAAAACAGACAAACAGAGAAAGCAAGTTAAAGAAAACGTGGGAAAAATGTTTTTTTTTTCTCAAATCACTTTGCTAAATTATAGACTCGGTTATTTAGACATGTGATACTTGAGGCAAACAGTGAGTGACCTGAAGTGACACATCAAAGTCATGACAGACGTTTTATTTGTGATCCATCAAACTCATGACAGACGTTTTGTGATCCATCAAGTCATGACAGACGTTTTGTGATCCATCAAGTCACGACAGACGTTACGTTTAGTCCAGCAATCATATTGCTTGTAAACATTTTATAAACTGCTTTTGGTGTCATAAAGTACAGTTCTCCGTCTAAACATGACGGTCTATGGGGCAAGTGAAGTAGAGTTATCCTGTTTCTGTGAGCTCGGCATATGAAAGGATAGTGTGGTCAGCACTATGCCCAGGCGACTTTACTTTCCCTAACGTGAGTTAGGTACCCATCAGAACTGGGTGGACTCAGGCACGGCCAACTGATTTGAACCCGGATTCGAACTCGAGACTTACGGGTTAGCAGTCTAGCTCTTTACAGCTTGGCCACTTTGTCCCATTGTGGTGTCATGTTTATCATCTGACTAACTAACTGCCCTGGCCTTGCGCTCCGATTTCCAGCGCGCTTTCATCCAATCATTTGACAGGCCAGTACCGTACCCCTTTGCAATGGCGTAGCGAGGTCGGGTGTTACCCGGTGCGGCACTTAATGGTGTCACCCCCCCCCCCCAGAGGCGGAGCGACCCTTCCCGGGGACAAACTTTAAAATTTTCGATTTGCACCCCTCCCCCCCTCAAATTTTCGATTTGCACCCCCCTCTCAAACTTTCGATTTGCACCCCCCCCCCCCCCCCGCTCAAGTTTTTCTATATATATTTTGCTATTTTTTGCCTTGCCTTGGTGTCACCCCCCTAAATGGTGTCACCCGGTGCGGTCCGCACCCCCCGCCCCTCGCTGCGCCTCTGCCCCTTTGTATCTGCACATGTGACAACCCCCGTCCCCCAACACCACCCAGGTACTGACCTTCATGCGGCAGGAAGTTGCAGGAGTAAAGCGTGGAGTAGTGGCGAGTGGCCGTGTTAAACCGATGGCCAGCGTACTGGGTGGCCCGTTGCTGGTTGTGGCTTGCTTGTGGGTTGACGCGGTGGTGCCTTGGACATCTGCATTCAATCTGGTTTCAGGATGAGAGAGGAAAAAATACACACACATTTATAAAACAAGTTAATAAAAAGTCTAGTGACAATTTAAGCGCAATTTCCTTAATTAATTTTTTTTTAAATGTGAAAAAATGATTAGGCCTAGCGAAACAAAACCTTGTAATTGTAACTCCTTATCACTCTCATATAAATCATAAATAAATTAATAGGGTACAAAAATAACGTTTGAATTAATAAGTGAAAAAAAGACAACTATATTAACCTATATCAACGGAAATAGTTTTATTTTAACGAGTTGGCCTACAAGATGCTCAGTTTAAAAAAGTAGTAAATATCATCCTAGGCCTACACGATTCTCAGTTTAAATGTTCTTAATTAATTTTTTGTGACCGAACGAAAGGAAATTTTTGAAAACTTTCTTCGGCAATATTGGTCTAAATTATGGCAGGAATTGATTGGTAAATGTTTCAAGTCGCTAAGTGGTCTGGTTGCCGATATATGGACCAAAAACTGCATTTGTTCGAGGGTTTTTTTTTTTGGCTTTTCCGGGAAATCCAAGAAGGAATTCCTGGAATTTTTTTGGCCAACAATCATCCTTGGAACTTGCATAACATATTTGCTTTTGGAACTAGTCCTCGATATTGCTTCGTTGAGGAGGAGATACGACTTAAAGCTGGGGACACACATCCATGCAAAAATGACGAGTTAATAATCGCAATTGTCCGTATGGAAATTGCGCTAAAAACAATGTAAAGTTATTTGTGATTGAAAAGTGTTGGACATATTAGAACTTAAATATAGGGTTACAGTATAGCTTGTTGAAAATATATTGTTATTACCTATTTAATGGACTGGGTTATTTTTTCTAGTTTAAGCCAGAATACAAATTATTTTTGTGCGTTAATTATTAGAAAATATTGTCAAGAATCTTATTAATATTTGGGCTTATATACATACCCGATCAATATAACAGTATGATATGATGTAATTCTCAAACAATTCTAAGTTTGGGAGAATATGATTTACCAATGTATGTAGAATCATTACATAATTAATAGATTTAATGCCTAAGTACTTTAGGCTCGGGTTTAGGTTCAGGTTTAAGTTCAGGTTTAATTTTAGGTTAACAGTCTGTTGTCCTTTGTGTTCTTCCACTTTGTGTTCTTCTACTTAGCAGGCTAAATATTTGGTAAGAATAATACCGATGATGATAGAATCATTACATAATTAATAAATTTTAGACCTATTTACTATTATCCAGAATAATTCATAGCTTGTATATTTTTATAATAAAATAAAATTATGCATTGCATTCACTAAACAGATATAAAATCGTAAACAATCATTCAGTAAATAGTTCTATGTAATGATACTAAATTTAAAAAAAAAATATTTTTAAAAATGTCAAGCGATAAAATTATAGTTACAATTGTAAAAATTAAAGACGTAATATAAACCATTGATTACACTAATTTTTAATGTTTTTGTATCGAATTTAAGTCGTAGAAAAACATTTACAATTATTTTATAAATTCAAATATTTTAAAAAAAATCGCCTTCAACCTCTACTTGAAGTCTACCGGAATGGCCAGAGAGAGTAAAACAATAAAAGTCAGAACAATTGTTTTCTATGATAAAAATACACAACAGTGATGTATGGAGTATAGCTTAGTATTGTATTTATATTGAATAATATAATATCACCAATCAACACAACACAAGGACTCTACTTATCCAATTAAAAATAAAAATGTCTGATAAATTACTATTATACTACTAGTAATTATTTCTTTGACTATTTCTAGACTTAATGAAACCGGAAGTAATTTTGTACTAATACACAAATGTTAAAAAACATTCAAGTTAGGTTGAAAAATATGCTTTCTGGCAACAAATATTTTGGAACCATTCGGCACCAGCTTTTCAAGTCTATGAAAACGTTTACCTTTCACTGCATCCGCCCCTCACCTGCTTTAGGCTCCCAGTAGCAACATATACATTAAGTACTCACTCTGGTAAATGTTTTGCCTCCGAAAGAATGCGAATTTTGTTCTGATGTTGTGGCAATGACAGGTCCGTTCGGTGAAGGAGTCCGGTTTCCGCACCACGGAAAAGAGCATGTTGGTTCACAAGTGTATTGTCTGGAGAGGTTAAAGAAAATGTGGATGCATTTGTTGCTATTTATGTTTCAAGGTAGAGGGTGTCGAAAAGATTAATTGAAACGTGTTACATAATATGATGTTTGTTTATATATATATATATATATATATATATATATATATATATATATATATATATATATATATATATATATATATATATATATATATATATATATATCCCATTTGTAGTTTTCTTTGTAATTTTGAGCGATTTTAGGTAACCGGAAAAAAACAAAAAAACTTCGGGTTAGGTTATGCACACACAATTTAAAATAGAATATATACACAGACACTTTTCTATAAAATTTTGAAGGATTTTCGGTAACCGGAAAGCTTTATTTTCTCATTTCCGTGTGAACAAGACAACATAAGAACTGTTTGAGTTAGGTGGATGAAATTTCTTATATTATATACGTTCTTGTATTTGGATTACTCTCAAATTTTGTGTGATTCATGATCCGGCTGTAGTACTTTATTTCCGGATTCTAAAGTACCAATAAGTCCCGTTTCATTTTTGCCAGTTCAACTCTTATAACTATATCAGAATAAGCGAAAACGTTTAGGGGAGATCACTCCCGCGTTGTTTTTCATCGTTATTTTGACATTCACAGATAATAAAGCGAAATTTTCATATTTAAAAAATTCTACAATGTGATAGCGAGGTGACCTAAAAATCTAAGCATTTATTTCGTTTACTTTTTACAAAATGTTGCTATGTTTAACCGCCTTCAAAGGCTTTAGCGGGATTGCGGTCTACGACCTCAATAGTTTAACGGTGTTCTGCCGTTGACATTTTTCCTTATAAAGATTAAATAATATGGCGTTTATGATCATCAGCTTTCATTCCCGTGGAGACTTTCAACATTTCCTCCTGAGTTTTATTCAAAATACATGTGCCGCGCACTGAGGCTTAGCGACCCTTTCCTGCGCCCGGGGCGGGCTGTCAATTTTGTGCCCCCTAACTCTCATTTCTATATATAGTTGTTCCTGTCTGTGAAACAGCGACGCCTCCAGTTGGAAAAGTTTGTGGCGCTACTTACCAGTTACTATCCCATAACATTTCTAACAGTTAAATCAGTGTGTAAAGCCTTGTAGTCGTTTAGTTTCGTAACTTTGTATAGGGCTGGTAAGTAGGTCATCAACCAGTTCTATGGCTCATGTATGTTTTATTGAGCCGTAGAACTGGTTGGTGACCTACTTACCAGCCCTATAATTCAACACTTCAGCTGAAAATGAGGTTTTAAATTAATATTTTGGCGCCCCCTTGGGTTCGGCGCCCGAGGCTGTCGCCCCACCCGCTCTTCCCCAGCTACGCGACTGGCCGCACAGAATCTAAAACTCACCTGTGTCCCCCCAGATTATAGATGCGATGGTCGTCGTCTATTGGACAAAGATGGACCCCCCTACCCTCGCTGTTCAAACACAGACAGTTGCTGGTTGTCCTAGTTTCTGTGCAGGTGGTTCCATTTTGGAAATCGCGGGTCATTTCGAATACGTCACTGCAGACGGCTCTTGGGGGACATGTATTGTTGTTTTTCTGAAAAAGCAGAAGCGAAAAAATAACCTTTAGCCTACACCAGTGCTTGAGACGGCGTTGTAATTTGGTAGAGGAGACACTGTTATATTCTCGAGTTCCGATACCGGGTTCGATTTCTTAGAGGTTTTTAAGTCCAGTCTGTTCTGTTAAGTAGCTTGGTCGTGTTAGGAAATTTAAAGGCTGGGCATTATATTAACCCGCGCTAGGCTACCAACACGAAAGTCTCGAGTTCGAATCCGGGTCCAAGTTATTTACACGTCCCTGAGTCAACCTAGCTCTGATGGGTGCCTAACTCATGTTAGGGAAAGTACAGGCGGTTCGGCTATGTGCTGTCCACACCTTCCCTTCATATGCCGAAGTCAATAAACATATGAACTCTACTTCACCTGCCCAATGGATAGCTAGGTCTGAAGAGGATTATTTGCTTGATAGTATTAACCCCACTATCATCTAAAGGCTGAGGTCACAGAAACAGGAGAACGCTACTGCCTCATCGATAACTTAGTTTGAAAGGGTAACGTTGCTACTTCAGTGAACACAGTATCTATTCCTACATGTGACGTCAGCGCGCGTGATGTGTACACTGATACACGTGACGCCAGTGCACGTGATGTGTTTACTGATACATGTGACGTCAGCAACAGTCAGCGTGAGTTGTCTGTGAAATATGCGACCCAGTCCTTATATTATTAATGATTTGGCCTAGAATTTTTTTTTGTCTCACTGATTTATTTTCTAAAGGCTTACAGCTAAAAGATCCTTCACAACATTAAAAAACTTAGAAGAGTAGTTAGTGGAGTAAGAACAAAGTAAATAAGCATATTTAGAACGTAGTGATTAACAATGTCGATCTTTAATCATGAACGATGTTCATTCTTAATTTCAGTGTTAGCAGGGATCCCCTTCCATATACGTGTCAACTGGTTATGCGCCATTGAGGCCATTCATTCCGATTTCAGCCTGCTTTCCTTTTTGGATTTGCCTCCATAGCCTTTGTCCAACCAAGAACAAACTACAAGGCAGCAGATGTTTGATTTTGGAGTTGTCTCTCCTAGAAAAGTGGCTGTCCCCAGCTGACGAGCCTTATCTGCCCGAGACTTTTCGGTATAGCAACCTTGAGCTTTACCGACTCGACCACGCCGACCCCAACAATTGGATAACTTTTTATTATACACTTGTGGGTAGTGCCCATGGAGGGGACGGCCTGGGCCGGGGAGTAAGAGAGAGAGATATGTGCTACATGCATAACATATTTCAAGCTCATTTTCGGACACTCCAATAAATTTATTTTAAAAAATTTAGCTTGTTCTTTAATTTCTTTTACTTGTTGTTGAATTATAAGCACCGTGGCTGCGATATTTTCGTTTAAATTAATGAAGTTTCTCGCCAACTGAACTATCCACATTTTTGCTTTGATTTTTTAAATTAAAAACGTAGTAAGTCCATATTAAAGGAATCGCTCCCAGTCGAAGACAATGTTTGTTTTCTAAAATAGTGTGTAACATGTCCTGTAATTGTGAAAGCTAAAGTATACCTACATGTTCCGTAGAGAATATATTTAAGAAAAAAATTAACTTTTGGTAGGTTTTGTGTTCCTGACACGTATAGTGTAAACGCAAAGTAAGCTTTATGCACTTTTACAACTGACAATTTTACATTATAAACACACCCTTAAACCGCTATCACATGTTATAACATTGCCGTCGAAAAGTAACCTACTTGTAAAACATCGATGGCAAAAAAAAAAAAAAATCAAAGCCAAACCATCTATATATATAATTCTCTGTCGCCCAACCATGCGGAACACCACGCACGCAGCAGTGTGTACCCACCCACCCCATTTGGACAACTGTGTCTTTCAGGAATTCTTCAACTGTCACTATATAGCGGCGTATGTTACGCTGCAGGTCGGCTCGTTGTAATAAAATCTCTTACAAAGTAGGTCGTAACAAAATCTCTTACAAAGTAGGTAGGCTTGTTGTAATAAAATCTCTTACAAAGTAGGTAGGCTCGTTGTAATAAAATCTCTTACAAAGTAGGTAGGCTTGTTGTAATAAAATCTCTTACAAAGTAGGTAGGCTCGTTGTAATAAAAATCTCTTACAAAGTAGGTCGTTGTAATAAAATCTCTTACAAAGTAGGTAGGTATGTTGTAATAAAATCTCTTACAAAGTAGGTAGGTATGTTGTAATAAAACCTCTTACAAAGTAGGTAGGTATGTTGTAATAAAACCTCTTACAAAGTAGGTAGGTATGTTGTAATAAAACCTCTTACAAAGTAGGTAGGTATGTTGTAATAAAATCTCTTACAAAGTAGGTCGGTATGACCCCACATACTAAAATCTCTAACAAAGTAGGTCGGTATATTGTAATAAAATCTCTTACAAAGTAGGTAGGTATGACCCCACAGACTGTCTGGCTCCATCCAGGTGTCAGGTATGTCATTATCAGTATCAGAACTGCCAGCTTCATGGTCACCTGGGATTTACCTAGAAACCACCTGTGCAAGTTTAAAGAGAAAATTATTATCGCATTAGTCATTATAATGATAAAAGTGCTGTATTATAAAATTAACATAATGATGGTTTGGTGACCTGAGAAGAAAGAAGGCTTAAAGATACTCGTAATGTTAACATTACATTTTCATAGTGTCTCTTTTTTATCGGAACATTATTCATTTTTATATGTACAATGTTTTAAAATATTGTTTTAGAGTATATATTTAGTAGTCCTACACAAAAAGTATATATATATATATATATATATATATATATATATATATATATATATATATGATATATGGCTTTTCCTTCGTGTGTATTGGCCAGACACAATTGTTCATAAGAGAATCATAGACTTAATCTTATCCTATAAACCAGACTGATGGAACATTTTTATTAAGGTTTAATCAATGCTTTTCCACTCAGTTTCATTCGATGGGTCCACTGAATCTATACAACAATTGCTAGCTTATTACTTCCTATTTTACGGACACCTCTCCTATTATTAACTCCAGCTTTGCACGTGTTGAGTATTAAAAACAAACATAACCACGTTTATCGTATTTTAACTCTACATATCGCTGCCAGATTTCAAGTCAACCTCGGAATAAAGACAAAATAAACGCGGAAATAAAAAAAAAAGTCCTAGAATGAAAGCGATCTATGGGCTCTGGGATAATGACAAGCACCGCCACACCGAAATGTCGAACGGACGCACGAACTATAATTTTGCACGTCAAATAGGCACTAGATTGCAAGACGCGCAACCGGGAATCCCCAATATATAACCATTAGACGTCAGCGCGCTGGGGCATTTTCTCGCACTCTGCGCATGCGTCATGGATCGTAGGCACGGTATTGGGGAGGTTAAATTGGCGGTTAGCTCGGCTGGGTTAGCGTGATGCATGGAAATGTCCGATTGTGGAGTTCCATCCCTTTTTTTTTTGTTCATCCAGGAGATCTGTTTACTTTTTCGGTGACTACATTAGTTTAAATAACGTCTGTGGTACTTTGTAAACATCTTGAGCAGTGAAGGCACGAAAAGCATAGTTGCCAATTTATGAGTTTAAAATGCCAAAATAAAAACAAATACATACATTGGTGTCTACGACAAATTCCCGAAAGACACTTGCCCGAATGTTGTTTTTCCCGAAAGCCTATTTCCCGGTAGTCACTGAAATTTGATAGAGCCAAGAAAATAATATCTTATACCTGTGTATAACATTTCGTCTTCCTAATGGTATTTATCTACACAGTACTTTAGGAAACGGAAATAGTGGAACTACAAATTCCGGCTAAGTCACTCAACATTTGAATGTAATCCAAGTATTAGATCTTATACTTATATAAGACATTACGTGTAACTAACGTGAACAATACTTAATGTGTTGTGATTCCACGGAAATAGAGACTAGTACTACGTCCTTTAACCGGGAATCATTTAAAAATTGTCAGAAACCTTCGCATACAATCTTAAACTCCTAAGTGAAATTTTACTAACGTAAAGAAAAGGGTACCAAAGTTATAGATTTTTGAGAAATCGGAACTGGAGTAAGTACCACTTCCGGTTAAAGGAAATCGTACAAAAGTTAATAGTTAATAAGAACCTGCAAATCTGAACTAACTAAAACGGTACTCACTATATTAAGTATTGAATACCTTTACTAGAATCCAAGTAGCTACACATGCTTTAAACTTTTAATTATTTAATCAGTAGGTAATTGTGATATACAAGAAAATCATTTATTTTCTCCTTTTTAGTGCATTAATGCATAAAAGTTTGTTGCTTTTTTTGGCTTTTTAAAAAATGAGATCTTTTGTCCTAAGACCTTTGCCATGTAACCGTATATATATATATATATATATATATATATATATATATATATATATATATATATATATATATATATATATATATATATATATATATATATATATATATATATGTATATATATATATATATATATATATATATATATATATATATATATATATATATATATATATATATATATATATATATATATGTTACGGTCAAAGCCCGAAGTGCGGCCAAACCCCGGATTGGCCGGCCAAACCCCGGATTGGCCGGCCAATGCGCGGATTGGCCGGCTCTCTTGGCCAAAGCCCGAAGAACTTAGAACTAAGATCGTATTTCGTACATTGGCCGGCCAATGCGCGCACTGGCCGGGACGAACTGGCCAAAGTCCGAAGTGCTTAAACTTGACAGCGTATTTTGTACATTGGCCGGCCAATGCGCGCACTGGCCGGGACGAACTGGCCAAAGTCCGAAGTGCTTAAACTTGACAGCGTATTTTGTACATTGGCCGGCCAATGCGCGCATTGGCCGGGATGTCCTGGCCATTGTTCTATCTAGTCTAAGTTGTGATCGCGTTTTCATTATTCTGGGTGCGGTATCATTGTGAGTAACGTATTGTTTAGCTCTTGTTTGTACAGCTCATTTTTGTGGATCCTGTGGCAAAGATGTCCATGCTATTTGTGGAGTACCCAATGAAGCAGACGAAGGGTACGGAGGGGACATTACCTGCAGATTGTGTCACAACAAACAAGACATCATGGAACACAGTTCAGCAGCTCATAATGGCTTGCAAAATCAAGGTGCTAAGATGCTTAAAACATCAAATACAAAATTTAAAGATGGTGAAGTGGGTGACAATATACGCATCCGTGTTCCAGATGTTGAAAGAGGTCGCGGTGATCCCCGAAGCGTGATTGCAGTTGTCATGAGCGTCGAGGGTGGTTGCTACAAATTAGGAACGGAACATGGTGTTCTAAAACAACTGTATGCTAGAAGTGAGTTTTCAATTCTTCATGAAAAACTGCTCTTATTGTCGTCAGTTGGCACTGAGGAAAAATCACTACGAACCATCGCATCTTCACAATCATTGACTGGAGGCCAAGGCTACACTCGCTGCAATTGCACAACCAAGTGCACAACAAATCGCTGCAAGTGTAAAAATAACAAGCTGCTATGTAATTCTAAATGCCATAAAAGTTCAACTTGTTGTAACAAATGATGATATTGATATATTGAGACTATAGTACAATAAAAAAAATTGAATTTTTCTGTCATTTACTTTAATTAATAATCAATAAAAACTTAATTTCATGATCCTTACGGCATTAAAAAACCCAAAATCTGCTCATGATTTTCTAATTCGGACTTTGGCCGGTCGTCCCTAGCCAGATGATCTTCTAATTAAGACTTTGGCCGGTCCACCATGGCCAGGCCAAAGGCCGAAATCAAGCAAAGTTTCGGACTTTGACCGACCTATGGGAGGCGATATTGGCCAATGCGCGGATTGGCCGGCCAATCCGCGCATTGGCCGACTTCGGGCTTTGACCGTAACATATATATATGTATATATATATATATATATATATATATATATATATATATATATATATATATATATATGTGTGTGTGCGTGTGTGTGTGTGTGTGTGCGAGTGTGTGTGTGTGTGAATGTGAGTTTGTGTGTTGTGTGTGTGCGTGTGCGAGTGTGTGTGTGAGTGTGTGTGTGTAAAGCAGTGTCAGAGCAACACAAGCGGTTTGTAGCCTGAGCTTGTCCTTTAATGTATCCACGACGCTGTACATGCTGGGGGGGGGGGGGGGGGGGGGTATAAGTTTCTGCCATTCATACAATCTGACTTTTAATTTACCTTGCACGACTGCAAAACAAAGCATTCAAATACGCGTTGTAGAGAAGCTTTGGAGGTTCAGACTTGCGCAGTAGCGTAGCTAAGGGGGGGGGGGGGGGTGTGGGGCGGCCGCCCCGGGCACCGACCCCAAGGGGGCACCAAAAGGGGTAGAAAAATTAATTTAAAAGCTCTCTTAAGCTGTAGTATCAAATTATACACACTCGAAGGAGCTTTCATAGACAGGAATAACTATGCATAAAAAATGGGAGGATTGTCCACCCCGGGCGCGGGAATAGGTCGCAAAGCCTCTGGACTTGCGAACAGATGGATGAATCGACAGACAATTGAGAGTTCAAACAGAATGACAGACATTAACAGATCATAAATAGACTGGCAGAGATATAAAAAGTTGGATGGTTTGATCTACTAATAAATGGGCCTATAAAGAGATTGACCTAAAGATGAATGGACCTACAGATAGAAGGACCTAAAGATAGATGGACCTACATATTTTTGGACCTACAGATATATGGATCTACATATAGATGGACCTAAAGATAGATGGACCTACAGATAGAAGGACCAAAAGATAGATGGACACATAGATAGATGGATAAACTATACACTGGATTAAAAAGCATCTAATTCGCCATACATTTTTGTTTTACTCAGAACAGCATTTTCGCAATACAGAGCGTGGGAAAAATGCTGATTGCACCAATTATCCCCCTTGGAGTAAGCGCCAAATTAGGCCTCTGAAAGCCGCGTCAATCAACGAATCCAGTCTGACGAGGCAGGGAAAATTCCCAACGATTTTCAAAAATTGGTTAAAATTACAATCCGATAACTGTCATCAACCTCGAGAGATTAAATTAAATTATTTGGTTTCTAAAAGTAGATTTTTTTTCCATTTTTGCGGAGTTATATTTTATGTAGAGATTTGCGAGACAACGTTTAGAAGATTTTAGCGTGTATAAAGGTTAAAGGTTAATGACGATTCTGATTGGACCGATAATTAACTAACTTTATGGTAAGACAAAAGGGCGACAATTGGTTTAATTACTTTTAATCTAATAATTTTAAAACATTGTTATTCTAGACCTAACTATCCATGGGGCAGATGAAGTAGAGTTTATATGTTTCTTGACTGGTATATGAAGAAATAGTGTGGTCAGCATTATGCCCAGCTGTCTTTACATTTACTTGCGTGAGTCAGATACCCATCAGAGCTGGGTGGACTTAGCGACGTGCTTCTATGTTCTTAATTTTAGTGTTGGAAAGGATACCCTCCAACTCAATCAAGTGTTGCTTATTGTTAGGCCGCTGACTCCGATT